GGGGACTCTCAGGCACTCTCTGGGTTGTGGCTGCTGCTCCCATTTTAAAAAGCACTGCATTTCAGGGGTTCTTTGGGGTTTTTTGTTTTTGTTTTTGTTTTTGTTTTTGGTGCGATCGGCTCATTTAAGGATCTGAAAACCGCTAATGTAAAAGGTTTTTTGAAGGAAATTCATAATCTCGGTTTCCCAGGCTTGCGCTGGACTCGGAAGGAACGCCGTTGTGTACATACCGTTGTATGGTTTAATTTATTGTTTTTACTGTGCAAAGCGGCTGGAAGATTTTTTCCAGGTGCCAATTCGGATTTATTCATCCTTTTTTTTTCTTCTTTTTTTCTGAACTATATCTGTTGTCGTTTTTAAGCGTTGGAGACCAGAGAATTGCCCCCCACCCCCCCACTTTGGAGCTTGAGGCTCTCCTGCCAAGAGGAGGACAGCTGGGAAAACTGGATTAAAAGGATGCTTTTTATCTGTATTTTGCAGTAAGACTGATATTTTGAAGGCACATTCTTTCTGTGATTCATTTTTTAGCCCATAGCGCTAACCTTGAAGAGATTTGTGGTTGGGTTTTTGGTTTCTAAGGTCATAGTTTTTTTTCTTTTTCTTTCGTTTTTTCTTTTCTTTTTTTTTTTCTTTTTTTTTTTTTTTCTTGTGGGGGAGAGGAGGGGACTCAGAAAGGAGAGCAAGTTAACTGGTAGAAGGAGAATGAGCTTCGGTGACCAGGGTCCTGAGAGCTGGAGGGAAAAAGGATTCAGCCTTCAAGTTGGGAGGCCTTCCTCTCACTGCTCTTAAAACCAGCAAGGATTCGACCCTGATCAAGACGTCAAAACTACAGGACTCAAGACACAGAGGCCCCGGGGAAGCCATGAGTGTAAGATTACCCCAGCGTATAGACAGGTAGGTTTGCTGATAAACTGGATTTTCAGTACTTAAGGTGCTGCGTTTGATAGAAGGTAGCAGGAGGAGGGGCCGGGTGGGCTGCGGGAGTCCCCTGGCGGGAGTGTGCCCTGGTCTCCGGGACGCTCTGGGCACGTGGGTCTGTCTTCCCTGCATCGTCCATGTTCAGAACATCTCCTGATTCAATATTTTGTTTGTTTGTTTGTTTTAATATAATTAGACAGTGAAGCCGGGAATAGGGAAAGTGGGGAGATGTCTTGGGCCGACTTCGACGTTTGCCAGGCTGCAGGCTGGGTTTTAATCCCTGACTTGCCCGCCTGGGCGGCGGGTTTAGGTGTTGGAGCTGCTGGGGAAAGGGCCCTGGCAGGGGCATGGGCCTCCCCTGGCTGGTCGTCATAGATGGTGGGTGGTGGGGTTTGGTGATGGGGTGGATCCCCTTTCCAGAATGAGAAGATGTCCTTGCCTGAATGGTGGAACAGGAACGCCCTTTGCACCCCCACAGGGCTGGATTTTTACCACTGGCTACTAATGGCCCCCAAATCAAAGGTTGCCTTAGGATTTTTTCCCCTCCAAGGTTAGGGTTGGACCTGAGACCTGCCACCCGGCTCATGCCCGAGGTTTACGCTTGCGGGGCGTTTCTAGTAAGCCTGACTGCAGAGTGGGCCTCCACGGCCTGGAGCCAGAAGGAGCGGTTCTGGCCCTTAGGCCTGCTGGACAGATAAGCTGAGCGCGGGCGCCCCTAGCCTCCCCACCTCGAGACACCACAGCTCACAGCCTTGTAAGGCGGCTGCCTTGTCCCTTGAGAACCTTGAGGGAGAGCTGTCGTTTGGGTGCTGCACGCAGGTCCTAACCGAATGGAGGACTGAACAGGCAGAGGAAAGGCCTGGGCCTGCAGTGGTGTTCCTGGAGAGGCCGGGCGCCTGCCAGCAAGGAGTAATTGCTGCCTTGGCGCCCAGGTAACCTGTGATAACCGCGCTCACGATAACGCCCTTTGGCTATGGAACGTGGCCTAAGGTGCGTGTGATCTCTCCCCACACAGTAACTTCCGTGTGGCCTCAGTCCCATTTAGGCCAGTCAGCAGCCCCCAGACCCCCAGACAGGTCCGGCTTGGCAGTGGCGGACAGAAAGGTGCTCGCGGCCGGGGACCTCTATCCGCCCCTTTGTGCTGGCTTCTGCGCGGTTTGCTCTCCTGGGGGGAACGGAGGCCTGTCAAGGCAGGGGTCCGTGTGGGACCCGCCACCCTTCCCTTGTCACCGTCCTGGAGTTGGGGAATTGGTGCGTTTGTCTTCTTGCGGTTTGGGGGGGGGGGCTGTACTCTGAGTCAGGGATGTGAGGAGATGGAAGCCCAGGTGTTGGGGTGCGAGGAGGGGAAGGGTCCCGGGCTGACGCGAGCCGCTCCTTGGGGAGCTGGGGGCCCACCGGCTCAGGTTGGTGCAGCTCGGTGCGCCTCGAGGGCCTTCAGACCGACGTCCTCCTTTGGACCCGACCAGGTTTCTGTGAGGCCGGCCAGTGGGGAGGGCGCCGTCTTGCTGGCTGGCAGCAGAGGTGGACCAGGCCGGGCCTCCGGGAGTCGACGCTGGCTCTGCAGCAGCCCTGTCTCACAGGTGTGGGTGCCGGTCCTGTGGTGTGGGCGCTGCTCTGTCTCCTGGTGGCGGGGTGCAGTGGTCTCCAGCACCCCTGGCACTTCCTGACGGTCTTGAGGCTCACACTTGTAGTGGGTGCTGCAGCCTAGCAGGGTGAGAGCACCCCTTAGCCCCACGCTACCCCGATTCTGTCCCCGCTGAGGATCAGCGCTGGGCTCGGCCTCCTTGCCGGTGTCCCCGTTGCACGGGGCCTTAGCCCGCTCTGTCGGGCCTTGTGACATCTCAGGTTCAAGACCCTCGGGATTTGAAGTAATTTGCAGGCGTACACCGGCCCAGGGGGTCGTGGACTCGGGGTCCTCTCTCGTTTCTCAGCTTGCTGTGCAGAGTCGCGTGGAAGGTGCTGTCACAGAGCTCCAGAAAGCTGGAGTATGCGGTCTTCGCTCACAGGACCACCGACCGGTTTGGGGACCTGGGAGCGCGTAAATCCCTGACGACCACTGGACTCTGCTCAGGGTGTCCCAGCTCAGCGCCTGGCCTGGGGTCAGCGCTCAGTAGGTATTTGACAGATGGCCATTGGCACGAATGGACACGTCAGCAAGTGCGAATTCTCCCGTTCGGACTGTCGGGCGCGTGTGTGTGCGTTTCAGACGTAGGTGCCGTGGGGCCTGGAAGGCGAGCGACACGTGGACGGCGAGCCTAGCAGGGTCTAGGGGGTCTTGGCTTCACGCAAATGAGGCTTTGGGGTGTTTATTTGGCAGAGTCTTTAACCTTGTGGAGGGTGATTCCCAGGTCCAAAGACACATGAAGTATTTGCGACTCATCTTCACCCTTCAGTGTCACTTGGTCGTTGCTGAGGGGTGGGCTAAGGGACAGTCAGCCGTTTGTGTCCCTTTCGGTTTCTGTCCCCTGACAGCCTGTTGCCCGTTATTACATATTCCTCTCAAAGTTTCTAAAAATGGGTTTGGTACTGCAGGCAGAGGTAATGATACTGCATTATTTTACTGGCATGGCAGTGAGTTTTGCTGAGTCATCTGTATCCATTTGTCTAGTTCTCCATGGCAAATGTTTCGAGATGGCCAGATGGGTGAGAATTTGCCTCCATGAAGCAGCTCTTCTCTGTGCAGTTAGTCAGCCCCTGTGAGGGCCAAACAGACAGAAGTGCTGGATTTATGCCCAGAGCCTGAGGTCTGGGCCCTGGCACGCCCTGCAGCTGCACGACCTTGGGCAAGTCGCGTGCCTCCTGGTTTCCTCACGTGTGAAGCAACAGCTCACGTGTCTGAGCTGCTGTCCAGTTCACACACACCCTTACGGACACGGCGCGTCGTTTGAGGATTATCCTGTGGCTCTCGAATGGAACAAATCACATAAGATAATACATTTCAGATTGCTTTCTAAACTGCAAAGCCACGTGTAAATCCTAGATGGTGAACTCGTGGAGCTGACTTAGCTTCACGCGCTGCTTTCTGAGCTGGCCCAGGACAGGTTCAGAGTGACGCGAAGGTCGTCCCGTGTTTCGCAGGACGGACCGGAGCAAACAGGCTTCTGCCCCGGTGCATGAGGCTGGGAAGGTGCCCTTTCCAGCGGCCAGGGCGAGGGACCATGCCAGACAGTGTAGACGGGGCAGCTGCTTGTCGGTGGCTTCCCCAGGCAGCAGGAGAGGCCGAGTCTGTGTCTCCGCCCTTGTCCCACACCCAGACCTAGCGGCCACTGCTCCTCATCAGGGATCTGAGGTGGGGGGGACCTTGCCCAGTCAGTAGCCATTTTTTCTGAAAGAGGCAAAATCTCCCCAGGTGTGCGGAGGAGGGAGGGGTCTGGCTGGCGGGCCTGTCCCGGGGAGGAGCCTCAGGCCGAGGGGAGGGCTTGTCTCCAGGGGTGGTACCAGTGGCGTAGCTGGGGGCTCCCGGGCGCCTCGGGGCTTCAGGGGCTTCAGGGTCTCGCCAGCTCAAGGAGTGAGAAACCCCCAGACATTCAGCTGAGTTTCTGCTGGTTCATAGGCTGACCTCCCAGGACAGTGATGGGGTCCAGGGGTACAGTAGTGAGTCCCGGGAGTGCTGCATCCTGTCGGGGTGGGATGGGGGTGGCAGAGGATTTGCAGGTGAAACATTGGGTGACTAGTCACCACCACGAGCAGGAGTGGGCTGTGCCCAACTTCCGTGCTCAGGGACAATTCTGGAAGAGCGCCCTGTGATCAGTGAGTTATTCTGTGTTTTTATTGAGGAAGTGCAGTCCCTGTGTTCCCGCTGAGAGCAGACAAAAGCACAGACAGGTAGGTGACAGCAAGAGCCCACCAGACGTGAAAAAGCCTGGAGAGCACGGAGCAGCCCCCAGAGCAGCCCGAGGACAGGCGTGTGGAAGGTCGCGGCCCCCCAGGCCCGAGGGGAAGTGCCGGTCGGGGGTGACCGCATCTGCTGCACGTCTCCGGAGCGCGTGCCTGTAAAAACAGTTTATTGGTTTGCTGTGTTTACAGCGTATTTCTGAGACTCACGTGGTCTGGAAGCCCGTTTCTCCACGCGCGTGCGGTCTTCCTGTCCCGGTCACCGTGTCGGGAGAAGCCCCGCAGGGACCTGCCGTGGCATCCAGGCTCCCCACCTCCGCCCCCCGAGGGCGAGCAGGACTGACAACGTGGCAGATTCTGGTCCAAAAGAAAACAGCCCCACGACTTCGTGGAAGTCAGGCCGGGCCCCCCGCGAAGGCCGCTTAGGGAGGTGAGGGAAGAAGGTGGCGTCGGGGTCACTCGGTGAGCGAGGGGCTGGCCGGCCCCCGGGGTGCGAGCCCGTCCTGTCGCTACTGTTTTCCGCAGTCCTTATCTGGCTGTACTGGACACCAGGGCTCAGGGCGGTGGTGAAGCGGAGCGGAAGGTGGCGTTGCCTGGCGTGGCGGGCACGCGGGGGCGGCCCCGGGACAGCCAGGCAGGGCTGAGAAGGGCTGGCTTTCCAGGTCCGGGGGGACACCAGGCTGTGGTCCCAAAACACCGGGACAGATTGCAGGGCCATCCCGGAATCGAAGGGGCTCCCCACCCTTTCCCCGACTAGAGGGATGCAGAGAGGTGGCTCCAAGCTGCTGGGGACAGTCGTCCTGTGGAGGGTGGCTCCGAGCTGCTGGGGGCGGTCGTCCTGTGGAGGGTGGCTCCGAGCTGCTGGGGGCGGTCGCCCATGGAAAGCAGAAAGGGGTAAAGGTATTCACACTGCACGCGGTGGGAACGGGAGCGGCGAGTGTCATGTGACATGTGGTGACGAAACCGTGTTTGAAGGACTGCTCTGATGTTAGGTAGACGCCGAGACAGCCTGGGGCCCATGGGCCAGCAAGGACTTTGCAGCGATCTTGGCAAAGATGGTGTGGGGAAGGAGAGCCGGCGAGGTAGGCCGAGGCCGGATCAGATTGGGGCCCCAGGGCCGGGTGGCAGTGCCGCTGGGGACC